TCGGGCATTAATGCAAATATAAGAATATTAATGTTTCCAAATGTTACAAATAGTAGAACAACATGAAACTTTTTATTATACTCATTATATGGAGATATCAATGTTTATGGCCTAACTTTCTATGTTCAAAGTAGTAGCGAGTTTTATATGGGTCATTTTTGTGCGAGTCAGGTTGATCCTGTTGTGTGTTGTTTTTCTAAGCTGTTTTGTGATATGCTCAGTCCATATCGCGCTTACATCTGCGCCTGGGTCACGATTGTCTCAACTGCCTGAACGGATCACTATCGCTCTCATGACTTTTGTAACATTGCTTTCTCCCCACAACACTTTTCATCCTCTCCCAAGATATGGTGTGCAGATGGATCACAGCCTGCGCTATAACGGATTTTTTCACATTCTATTTTGATAACCCTGGGATTTATCTTCGTCGTCTGCCTATTTGCTTGAGACTTTTTCTATGGCATCATTATTCTTTCGTCTAATGACGTGTCTTTTGTGCTCGATGTTCCTTTCCTCAAGAATATTACTCGTTTCACCTCTGTGTACACTGAACCACGCTTACAGGGAAGTTTTTACATTCAACTTTACTTCTGCTCCTATGCTCTTTTAGTGATTAGATGGCTGAGACGGTGGTGTAGTGTTGTATCAGATATGAATAAAATATTCAGCTTTATGCATACTGCATCGTAACTATTTCTTCAGTTAAATAAGCTGATTACGTTTCATCGTTTTTTCTGCATTCCTGAGTGTCAACAAACAGCCTTTAATGTAATTACAGAATGTGGTGGAAAGAATTTCCATTTCGTGCACGTAAGCGCCGACATTCCGACGGTTGTCAGCTGTACGGTTAGGTCGGCATTCGAGTACCAGGGACAGAAATGCTCAGCGTGCTCGCGTATGTACGTGCCGAGTTCGCTGTGGCCTAGGATCAAGACGGACATTATCAACGTGTTGAAGGAGGTCAAGTGCAGCGACGTAATTTCTAAAACAAATTATTTTTTGCTGTTTGCAACCATCGCCTGTGTTTCGTTTTAGCCTCGTGACTACGAGTCGTTTATGACAGCAGTGATCGACAAAAATGCCTTCAACAGCATTAAGTCGTACATCGACGATGCCCGTTCAAATCCTAACCTGAGCATCGTTTTCGGCGGCAAGTGCGACAGTTCAAAGGGCTACTTCATCGAGCCGACCGTTGTTCAGTGCAGCAATCCTAACGAAAAGATTTTCAAGGAGGCAAGCTTTGTTTCCCTACCTCCGTTGTCGGGGGTTCGTCGCTTTCGTTTACTTTACTGTTCTTGTGTCACAGGAGATTTTTGGGCCTGTGCTTTCCGTTTATCCGTACGACGACGAAGCGCTCTACGACGTTCTAAGTTCCGTCAAGGAACACACACCTTTTGGACTAACTGGATCCATCTTCGCTACCGACAAGTAATGCATCTCTGTTAATCACCACGAAACCTGATCGTTAATAGCACAGTAAAATTTTCATTTGTCCGTAGTCCAGAATATGTCAAATAACGCGTGACTTCTTCAAGACGAGATTTCATGGCGTATATTGTGCTTATGCTCTGTTACATAAGGAGTACCATCTCCTAAAATATCGTTCATGATTGGCGTGACTATAGCGAACATATATCTCGCACCGCGAGGAGTCGAATTCCATGGAACCGTGACCTGCTTAAATGTCTCCTCCCTTAGAAAACTGTGAGCAGTGGGGCGGTGCAGTATGTATTGAAATCAGTTTTTGGAGGAGTATGGATTTCTATAGAACCTGCTTCATTCAGAATTATTTCACCTGAAATGTCACTGGTATTCAAATTTTTTTTAAATTTATCGTCGTATGTACAAATTTCATAAAATTGACATTCTACAGAATGCTGAGAAACATCCCTTCCATTAATGTAGTGAAACAGTTTCGTGATTAGTTTTTTTCATTTTTTTAGATTGCTTTAAAATATAACTCGGATCCAGAGAAGTTTCAGGAGATTATTATTCTTGCCGGCGTTATTAAAAACTAACAGTTTCCTAGTAAATCCATTATACCGGCATTACTTTCTATTCTATTTCCATTCGAGCTATCGCATTAACAGCATATGGACGTTCATGATGAGCATGAAGTGGCTCTGTGGCACAGAATGATGTGGGATGGTCTGACACTGCAGACCTCAAATACCACGGATCCGTGACCTGTGTAAATGGACCAATAGGCTGCCTAAAGCAAGAGGAATTGGTGACTACACCTTGCCAATCCACAGAAATGGCAATAGTTTAAGTTTCTGCAGCTTATTTCAGAGAGTTTATTTATCTATCGAACATGCTTATAAGCATTTCTGTTGTAGATCGTGTTTAATTATTTGTCCTGGTAATTTTTGTAGCCTAGCAACGTAAAATTGTGAAGGTGTGTGTAATATCGGTTTTTTAGCGCTTTCATTGACACGGCTTTGTACGAACTTCGAGAGGCAGCTGGCAACTTGTACGTCAACGATAAAAGTACGGGTGCCGTTGTAGGTCAACAGCCTTTTGGCGGTGCGAGAATGTCTGGCACGAATGACAAGGCGGGCGGTCTTCATTACTTGTTAAAGTGGGCATCCCCTCTGGTTGTGAAGTCCACCAGTGTTCCACTGCACGAATGGCGATATCCTTGCATGGAATAATGCGTCATTCGCTTAGCCGTCGTTAAAATTGTTTCACTGTGTTATAAATAATGCTACTTTTTGAGTAATGTGCATTTAGTCCGGTGAAACAAGTCTTATTTTACGATAGTGTCACTTTTATATATTTTGGTTCGTTCTTTATGAAAAATGTTAAATGATTTCTCATTGTTTTGATATTGCTGATAAGACTCGTAAGAATTGCCGATTTGAAATTTGTCGATCACCAACGAGGTATTACTTGAAATACAAATGCGGAGTTATGGCCTACTAGACCACCTGGATTAAAAGTTGGTGCACGATTGGCTTTTGTGTTTGCTAGCGAAAAGTCTTTTATACGAACTTTGATTAAAGATGGTAATCAACTGTACCCTCATTGTGAAAAAAACTATCGTTATAGATGCATATTACGCTTAACATGTCACTGTTGTAGTTTGGAGCACCACTGCAAATATTCGTACCTGTAAACAAAGAATTTGCCAAGTCAATAAAGCGCTTTATCACTGAGTATTAGGCATATGTTCTCTTTTGTAGGGCGTTTTATACTTTAGTAGCTGTAGATGTTTCCTTGAGTAGGGTCCATTCCGTTTGGAAGATATGGAGGAGTTCTCAACACATGGTTATGTCATCAACATAATTTATGTTCGGTCTAGCGCTAGATGAGCTCTTTTAAGTCTTAGCTGTAGATGTCGTTAAATACATCGCTAGGTTATTCGAAACAGCTGCTGTAACGTTATCATTGAAAATGAATTTAAATGTTATTATCTCAGGTACAGTCGAATGCCCTTCTTTTAACAGTTGAAAACATCATTCCACCTACTAATCGTTCAACGGTTAATCATCGTGATTCCCACTGCAAAGGGTTGAGGAGGTCATTGATATTGTTTTGGCTACTCTCCTGTTAATGTACTTCACCTTGGAAAGTAGGCGCGATGTAAGGTTTCTACGTATCTTTTCATTCAAAAATTTCTGTACTTTATGCTAAACCCCATTACTGCCTCTTGCTCTACTGATACACAGGATAGTTAGGCACAGCTAGTTCGAGTATATCAGTATAAGAGGGTGGAGACGAGATATTGTTTGAAGACGATCTTGTTTCATTGCTATTAAAGTGATTTTAAGTGCTTCCTGGTAAGGTTCACAGCCAACTGTGAGGAAGGGGGCGTGCTATTGTGTTTTAAACAAAAAGTCCAGTGATTTGTTATTTTCTCGCCATTTGCGCAGAATATCTCTCCATTTCTGCAGATAAACGGAGAAGCAGTATTAGGTGCAGAATGTAAAGTTCCTCGAGATCGTATTTGCTGGTGATGGAAGATTTGAGGAAGAGATCAGCCGGTGGAATGAAGTAGCCAGTGATGTTCTGCGTAAACTAGCCCGACCAGTTGTGACTACATTAGAGCTGCGTTTGAAAATAAGCCCTCTGCACTCAACTCAATTTTTATCCTGATGCTCGCGTACGATCATGAGTCGTGAACCTTGACTAAAATCTATAGTATAATCGACTGAAAACATTTCTGAGACAAATCGCTGGGCTCACGTTTCGACATGGTGCGGGGTATGGATATCTGAGTGAGCCTTGGTGTACAGCTGTTGCTTCTCTAGATTGAGAAGTCGCAGCGGCGCTGGTTTTGGCACGTCTTGCAAATGCTTT